TTAACACTTACTCATATTGCCTTGTTCCCTCTCTATTACTCGGCAATGCAATAGGATCTAATTGCTACCAGAGGGTCTCTTCTGTGGTCTGTTTTTAGACTTTCAGAAGCGTTCGATGCTGTGAACTATGGCATTCTGTTGTCAAAACTTTACCACTATGGAGTATGTGGAACTCCGCTTAAGTGGTTTAAAAAATACTTACATGATCGCACCCAGTTTGTTACCATTAACAATACTAAATCGAGCTATGAAACGCTGGGTCCACTCTTACTTTTACTTTATGTTAATGACTTCAGTGCCAAACTACTGCTTATGAAACTATCATTTAGAATTTTTGCTGAGCAGACACAAATATGTTTTACACAAGTGATAAGTTACAACATCTTGAAACAGTCCTGAATGAGGAATTGAAATTAGTTTTTAAGTACTGGACCACAAACAAGCTATCTATAAATCTTGCTAAGACAAACTATATGGTAATCTTATCTTCAAGAGGTTAAACGAAAGTATACATATACATAATATTAATTAAACGAAAAAGTAAAATATAATATCTAGGTGTATATATTGATCAAAATGTACACTGGGGACCCCAGATTCAACACATAAACAACAAGCTAGTGAAAAATGTAGGCATCATTGATGAATTAAGATATTATGTAGATCTTCATACTTTAAGCAGGGGCGTAGCCAGCTTTTCGATTTGTTGTAGGCCTTTTTTCCTAAACGTAGCATCCAAGAATACTGGGTATAATATGCTCCTCTGGAATTTTTCTTTTACACAGCCAGGGGTACTGTATTCAATTGTGTGCAACTATTAGGTCCACAAAGGTTATGAACATTAATTCTAATAATTGAATAGGGAAGCAATTTGAATCACCTCTCCGAAGATTTCAGCAAATGACCGCATTCTACATATATGGAGTTACCTGCTACTCATAGTAAGCACTTGCAGAGTCGTCCATACCAGCTCTATCAGGTGAAAAAAAAAAATACTCAGTAATAACAACCGTTCAGAATTCATATATCTAAGACGTGCGGCATGCATTTTTATCTGTTCACCTTTGTACTTGCCATTCTTTGGTTGCTTTAAACCTGCACGGAATTTCCGACCTGTTAATTGGTAGCGACGTGACAATAGAAGGTAAGTCCTCTGGTGGTAATATGCTTGGATAAGTGGCGTACCTGACCATCCCAAAGATGTGAATTGTTTCTTCTCCCGCTTTCCGTTACTCGCTTGTAAGGTTTACTTGGTCTGCCTTGACTTTATAACAGCCGTTCTTTTATAAATGAGTACTGAGTTTGTTTTGACTTCCTGATCAAGAGCCTTTCTTATCGCAGGTCTAATTTAGTGCGGCTGTTCAGTGGTCAGTGTTGGCGTTCCGTCTCTGAGATATGGTTTATAAACATCTCAGTTAGTAGGCTCGAGATAAAAATTTCGTGGCAAACAAATGCTCTTGTTCTTCCTCAAAGACCAGGTTTCTATGCGGTGGTTGGCTTTAAAAGGCTCATTGTGGAAGGGATAACCGCTACAGTTCGTGGATGCCCGTTTCGCATAACATTCAGCAAGTCAACGGGATTCAGACGTTCATGATCCTTGTGGATCCTTATGGATATGCGTAGTGCAAGTCCGTTTGGGGGATCTTCTTTCATCGTTGTGTTTTTAGTTTTCTCTATGCACTCTCACTGACAGACATCTCTGCAGATAATTGACAAAGTTAGAAGTGCCGTAAATGCGCACGATAAGTTTGGGTAGAGCTCTTGAGGAGAAAAATATAGCTGAGAAGTGTCTCTGTAGTGCGTTTTCCATGACAATAATTCTCTTTTCTGCAGTTGTCGAATACCTTCTGAAATCGATCATACATGTATTTCACACAAAAGTTCAATTTTCGAGTTTATAAGAGTAATATTAATAAGTCAAGCAGGCAGAAGAAATTGTAGGCCAGGGCCTACGGGCCTATTGGCTGGCTACGCCCCTGTTAAGGCAGTTGTATTTCTCCTTCATTTATCCACATTTAACTTATGGTATTACAGGCTGGAGTAGTACGGTTGCTTGTAAGACCAGCAGGTTACATAAGATTAAAACTAAACAGAATAAATGTGTTCGTATCATGTTCTTTGCTTATAGCAGGGACAATGCTATGCCATACTTAAATCTTTTAGAAATTTTTATTCTTGAAATCATTTACAAATTCAATGTAGCCCTTTTCACACATAAAATTACTAACAACGTAACAAACGTCCCTACGATATTGAAAGGAACCCTTACCCTAGCCTCTGAGGTTCATAGTTACAACACGAGATTTGTATCGAACCTTAATTTTCATCGGCCAAGGATAAGAAATAATTATGGAGCTGCCACTTTTGCTTTTGCTGGTTCTAAAATCTGGGAAAAAATTCCCTCTAAATTTACAAAACTCCCATATAATAACTTCTACAAGAAATACAAGGCGGCAAACTGTACCTTTTAAATACCCAAGGGATTGAGTAATTTGATTTCTTTGCCCTCACTATCAATTATCATTTCTATTGTTTTTTATATAAAATTGTAACTATGACTTTATGCACTTTTAACTTTCCTGTCTCCGTTATACGCTACTTAAATGTGACTACGCCAGTTTGTTGCACGAAAACTCAAAAGCCTAAGCTCCTTTGGTCACTGGGCACATTTAATCTTTGATCATTGATGTAATAATGTTGTTTTACTTTACTTTTGTAATATATTGTCATTTTTTTGTAGTAAACTCTTGAGGTAGTACAATAAATAAAAAATCTGGAAATCCCACCAGCCATTTTAGTGGTATTGTACAGGTTTATCTATGTTTTTGCCTTGGGGCCTGCTTTTTTTTCTTTTACCCTGCGAGCAAGCTCTCCTATTTGGGCAAGCGAAGCGAGCCTGGCGAGACAGCTACACAGCTACACTGTCAAGTACATGTTTCTGAATTTTTCTACCCAGCAGAATTCAATCGGGCGAAGAAACCGATGTTGGAAGACAGCGCTTTAATCACTCTTCACTTTCACTCTCCCGGTTTTCAGAACTAAACAAGGCGCTTGACACAAATGAATACAACTGATGAAGGGTTTTCATTGTCCTTCCACAAGAACTACAAACTCGGTCCGACTTCTCCTCGGCACGCAATATTCTCTTTGCGAGAATTACATCAAACGAGCCCGTCTGCATTGAGGGTTGAAACAAGTTCTCGGTACCAATCTGATCCCCCTGAGAACCAAATTTGACACACAGACGAAGCGGGTGCCAGCTTGGCCTGTTATCAATCAACTTTGATTTCCGGAACATCATTTTTCAGCCAATGGTATTTCCCTTCGTCTGGGCGAAGTACAAATGAAAATTTGTAAGGGATGGTTGCTCCTTTCCTCCGCCCCTCGCGGCTTTGCCGCTCGCTCGCGCGTTCTCGCGAGACTCGTTTCACTCGCCCAAATAGGAGAGCTTGCTCACAGGGTATTTTCTTTTAACTCCAATGCCAGTAAATTGGTCACAGCCTTATAATAAAAGTACCTTACGCTTGGCCATGATCATGGATGGTCTTGTTTCTCCATCCATTGTCTTCATCCTTCCCCTGTTTATAGTCTTGTCACTTTTTTGTATTGGGGGGTGGGTTGAGGCCTACACCCTTGAAATTATAGTCATCGGCGTCTTGTTTGATCTATTTCGACAGAGAGCTCCTACTTCATATACTTCGGGTAAGTGTTATTTATTTCTATGAAGAAAATTAAAATTTTACTTATTCATAAGGATAAGGGGTAAGGGTTTTATAAAAATTTCTCCCAAATCAATTCCACCCTTACAATACTGCAAACTCTTAGGTCTACCGTCTACACTAGTGTCGAACACCTGTTAGGAAGTTTTCATTTTTTTCTTTCTTTTTCAAGGAAAAAAAATATTTAATTTAACTCGACAACGAAGTCATCAACTCTCGATCCCTTTCCTCCTTAAAGAATTTTCTGAAGATGAAATTAATAAGTAAATATAAAAAACGATCTTAAATCATCTCCACCGTAGACCTTCCACCATCTTTTGCCTCACTTAATGTAGACAAGAGCGTAGTTCATGGAGGCCTAATCCCTCATAAGCTTCTTATAGTTTGAATTAGGCCTCTTCTCTACTTCTCTTTTTCTACTTATCTTACAATTTTGTATTTTTACCATTGTGTTGCAAATTAATAAATAGATAATAATAAAAAAGTCGTAGTTTTTTCTTTTAGTTAAGTATACCTTTCCTTTTTGTTATAACAATAACAATACAACAATAACAATAACGAGTTTTATCCTTTTTTTATCTCTTAAACCACGGTACATTCCAGTTAATGACCCGGCTAAAATTAGTGACCTGACTGGCCCAGACGAGGCTCAATTCCCTGCCTTACTCAGACTCAATTTTCAAATCAACTATGCATGTAACCCACTAGTAACATAACTTAGCTGGGTTCAATTTAAGCAAGTAAGGTATTTTATACTTAAGTACCATAGATTCTAGTTTCTTAACAGATTTAAAAGAAGTTTGATTTTTTGCTTTGATGCAATCTGTCATTCATTTGTACTTGTCGACTAAAAAGTATAACTTGCAACGCTCTCTGTTTTTGTTATAACACTTCTGTTTTCCAAGGGTGTTAAAACCTCGTTCATCGTCTCGCGCTTACTCTGTATCACCTCAGTTGAATCACAGGAAATTCAGCCTTATTTGTAAGCAGTTCTCTGTCCTCCCGCCATACATTATCATTTATGTCAGAATTGCATCCATAGCACGGATCTACGCATGATCAATTTAACCCGCACGCGCACTTGTAAGGAGTAGAATTTTCCCCATCCCAATATGTCATCGCTTTGCCGTGGCGTAATACCCACCAACCATGCATATAACTTACGCTGCCTTGACCACTGCGGAGCATTGAGTCAAGACATTCGTACTTGATAAAGTGCTCGCAGTGTGCGGATATATCGGTCAGTTTGGCTAGTTGTTGAACACTCATTATTCTTCCTGAGAGGTAGCTTATATTTCGCACGTAACTACCAGTTGGCTTATAGCGGTCCACTAGCATTCTCAATTTTGAAAGCAAGGACCAACTTACAAAAAAGGAAGTAACGGATCCTAATAAAGGATCTAATCAGCTTTAAGAGGAAACTTATAAAACAAAAGAAGCAAGGCTGATTGATTTTACAGTCGGGAATATATATTTCTTTCACCAATTTTTCAGAAGGCACGGCCTTCCTTCCTCAGGGTCTTACATACAATGATAAGGTTAAGCTACGACGTTACAATTTGAAAAAAATAAAGAATGGCGTGCAATATGATGCTATGATAACACGTGAAAATTTTAATAAGAAAAAAGTGAACGTTAAAAATATTTGAGAACAGAAAATATATATAATTGTCAGTTTGTTAACGTTCACTTTTTCTTACTAAAATTTTCACTAGTGTTATTATAGTATAATATTGCACGCTTTTCTTTATTTCAAATTATAACGTCTTAGCTTAACCTTATCATTGTATGTAAGACCCCTGAAAAAAGAAGGCCGTGCCTTCGGAATATTGGTAAAAGAAATATAGTTCCCGACTGCAAAATCAACCTTGCTTTCTTTGTTCTATAGATCGTTTTCAGTGTCACGCAAGAAAAAAATAAATTGTAAACCGTCCAGGGCCGAGTTGTTCAAAGCTGGGTTAAGATAACCCAGGGTTAGTGGGAGATTTGAATTCAGATTTGAAAGCTTAAAAACCATTTTAGTTTTAATTCTTTTTGTCCACAAGTTAATGATTGGAAGTTCTAAAAATTACAGAGAAAATTATCCGAGAAAATGCTTTTGAACATAAGAGAAAGAAACCCCGGGTTAAGCGCTAATCGGCCTTCGAACAACTGGGCCCAGGGGAAAAAGCCAAGAAAATGAAATGTTATAAAAGACTGATTTTTGAAAAATTTGTCCAAGTCTCAGGTCTTGGTGTCGGTCTTGGTGGCCCACAGTTTCTGAGTTATTTGCCGAAACGTTTCACGCACTTTTGTAGAGCTTTGTATGGAGACGCCATATTGGTGCACCGTTTTGGTGCACCAATATGGCCGTCGGAAATCAACAAAAACATCTGGAGTTCACTTTTTCTATAAAAAGCTCTTTCTTTTCACTCGAGAACTAGTATACGTGCGCATAAACATATCTTCTAATATTTGAAATGGTTATACTGCTGAAAATCAAGAGGAGAGACTTCTTTCAACGAGACAGCATTTCTATTTTGGTGTCACGCACTGTGAAAACTTGGAAGTTCAAATTGCTGTATTTTGAAATGAAACATGTTACGGGAATGGAAACTTGTACAAGGATTTCCGTTTTGTTTATCTTCAACCTAGTGCAAATAAGAATTCGTAAAACCTCGCTATCTTGGCTTTACAATTTGATGACGTCACTGTGAAAACAATCTATAAACCAGCATTCTGTTTTCACTATCGAGACTGACAACTGTCACGCCAACTCCATTCTTGTCTGTCATGGTACAAAAGACGACAAAGGGGGTCAGACCTTCACTACCATCAGGATTGATGATGTAAGTGTTGAACCACTTGGAGCAGCAGGATTACGGTGTTCAATTGTAGTGCTTCAATTTCGATCCCCAGCAGAATAGCAAAAGAACAAAATTAGCCAGAATGAAATATGCGCTGAGCTCTGTTCGTAAAGGCAATACAAAACAGATGATGGAGTAAAATCGCTATGTGAACTTTAAACACAAATCCGGGTTTATTAATCTCAGAATATCAAATGAAAACAAATACAAACTATCATTAAACATGTATTGCCTGCGAAGGTGAGGGCAATGAAAACGCCAAAGCCCATGCAAAGCAGGGGCACGCCCCACCCCAGCGCAATTTCATTTTGACCAATGAAATGTAAATACCAATACCAATGTACTCTTCAACGTAAACCAGTGAATGATAAACACGGATCACAAATTGCAACAACAAGAAAAAACAACATGGAAAAAAAAAAAAACAAGAAAAGAGTTAACAAATGAATAGACGACTTTTTAGTTCGCTATGAGGCTGAATGAAAGAAGTGAAGACGCATTTTTACAGGCTTAGCCTCCATCTGACGTAATGCAAGAGCTAGACAAATCCAAAAGGCAAATCCAAAAGGCATGCATTTATCATATAATAATATTGATCGTTCCATTTTTGACCAAAAAGATAATAATATTGAGGCTGGCTACGCCCTTAGATTATCTGGTTCAATCCTGAATGCACTTTTAATAAATTATGTATCAGGTTTTGCCAGATAGGAACCAACACCTGGCTAGTTGATTCTTCCGATTGCCTTGTCTATATTAGCATAATGACACTTGAATGCTCCTCAGAAATACCATCATTGACTGATTTCCCTTTTGGATAAGAAAGGTCATGGATCATGCGAAAATCTCGTGGAATTTTCTTTGAGACAACCCCCACGCGGGATACTCTGAAAACTGGGAAAGGTGATGTACCGAAAGGGCCCACAAGCCTATGGGCATCCAGCTCCTTAGCTATTTTCTGATTGACTACCTGAAGCTGTTATTCCGCTGATAAAATAACAAATTAGGAGATTTACAATGTCTAGTTTGACCAACAGAATAAAGAGGAACGATTTTTTAAAAGAAAAAACAAAAAAAAAACAAAACAAAACTCAAGCCTGTGTTACCTTAACTGGTGTTGACACCCAGAGGATTGGCAGAAAATGGTGTTCCCGTAAAGGGACGAAAATTGATACAGTTTACCATTCATTAGTGAATGCAAATACGAAATAACTACCACTGAGTAACTACTATGACTGAACTACTGGTAACTACTATTAACTACCGGTGACTACTAGTAACTACTAATAACTACCAGTAACTACTATTAACCACCAGTAACTAATAGTAACTACCAGTAACTACTATTAACTACCAGTAAATACTATTATCATTCATTCAAAATATTTCCCCGACTCTGATTGACTAAAAGCACACGCATAATTCACCATGAAAGAAATTGGAAGAATTTTGCGTTTAATGAACCGATGACGTCAAAAATGCAGCTTTTTTGCAGGTTAATACACCGTTAACTGAGGAGACCTGGGGACAAGGTTGAGTTGTTTTGGTAGTGGACTTGAAAAATGGCGGACATTTCACTCTTTTCAAGAGTAAGAACTGGGCGACAAAATAGCTAAAAACATGGCAAGCGCAACAAGAAGACAACTCGAAGGGCGACATCTGCTATTTAGAGAATATTTGCGGAGCTGAACAGCCCCTAAACGTGCACTATCGAAGATGAACTTAACATCGATGGATCGATGGAGGTAAGCATATTTTAGCCATGTTTTTAAACTAGGAATTATTTTGAATGAATGATAAAACAATTATTGAATTCGGCTTTCTTATCATATGAAGAATTATGGATATCTCGGAGGGTGTTATCCGCCTCGGCCTTCGGCCTCGACGGATAACACCCACCTCGATCTCCAGAATTCTTCATAAGATACTCGGCCTCATTCATCGATTGTTAATTATTATTCATTCAAAATATTTCCCCATTTCTGATTGGTCAAAAGCACACTCATAATTTACCATAACCAGTTACTGATGACCAATTTTGGACAAATTTTGAGTTTAACGAGGAAATGACGTCAAAAATGCAGCCCGCTTCAGGTTAAGGCACCGTTACCGAGAAGACCTGGGGACGAGGTTGAGTTGTTTTGGCTGTTTTGGTGGTGAAAAAAAAGGCAGACATTTCATTCGTTTCAAGAGTAAGAACTACAGCTGGAACTAGGCGAAATAATAGCTAAAAACCTGGCAAAAACAGCGAAAAAAAAAAAAACAACTCGGAGGGCGACATCTGCCATTTTGGCCTCGGTGGATAACACCCTCCTCGATCTGCTTAATTCTTCATATCCTACTCATTCATTTAATTTCTAAGTAACAACTAGTAACTACTAGTAACTAGCAGTAACTAGTAGTAACTGCTAGTAACCGTACCAGCAGCTATACCCGTAACTACTAGTAACTACTAATAACTACCAGTTACTACCACTATCAGTTAGTAGACACAATTCCTTATGTTACACAGAGTATATATCACCGGTGCACTTATGGATTCCAACCATGAAGTCAGTATACTAGTGATCATTACTGTTAACACTGGTTATCTTTCAGCGCGATAACAGTTTCTTGATATAGCAGCACGATTTTTGCTTTCTAAACAGTAACTGAACTTAACACACGCAGCAGGTAAGACGTGGTTTACTTCTTTTCATAACTAAATCCTGCCTAAAATGTCTTGATTGAATTGTAAGCGGTGTCGTTGTGTGATGGACTTGAGAATTTTGTACGGTTTCCTCAAAGGGACACTCTATACCTAAGAGCAACTTTTGCTCAAAAGATAGTACTTGCACTATTATTGCGGGAAAAATGACACAAAAAAAAAAAAATCGAAAAGCGAAAGTAAAATCCCGAAAATCGTTGGAGAAAAGCGAAATTTCAGCCCTTTCAGGACCGGAAGTGAAATCGCCGATTTGTTAGGGCGCTTGACCATAATTAACGTACAAAGAAGAATCTTTTCAGTGTGACTGAAGAGATTGTGGAGTGAGGATGGTTCTTCCCTTTCTTCTCGTCCTTCAAACAGAAGTATAGGCGACAAATTGAGTTTATCAGCGTGTAAGGGAGCACAGACTTACTTGTTAAAACCGTATGACAGCGATCGGATACTGACTCGCCAAGCGAGTTCGACGTGGAACGGTATTAAAGCAAATATGCTGCACCGCAAATTCTGTTCGTTACTGATCGACGGTGTGATTACACTTTCGATAAAATAAAATAATTCTAGCCATACATTTCTTTTCCGATGGAGTGGCAATGTTTTGTTTGAGCATTTAATATTACGATCTAAAGCCGTGTTGAATAAGTAATTTTAATTACTTATTCAAGTTATTGCCCTTAATTACTTATTACGCATACACGGTTTAAAAACCGGTCAGTAGTATAAAACATGGACTGCGGACTGCGGACCACGGACTGCGGACTGGGTATAAAATACGGACTAGGCAGAAAATGTGGACTCCGGACTGAGTATAAAACGCGGACTACGGACTATGACGACTTTAAAAAGGTAAAACTGAGAGAAATGGAATCGGACTAGCAAAAACAGTAGCCCCAGCTTTAACAGTCCCTTGGCTGTTCACTTAGTCTATTCTTCCCACGGAGAAGGAAGGTCATGCCGGTACTCAAGGCAACTGAAATTAAACTCTGAATTTTATAAAAAGAGGGAGTTAGAAGAGATTTCAATTTGCAGTTTTAAGCCAATAAGAAGCACCGAATTTTAAAAAATAGTGCTGGTGTTAGTCAGATCAGTAAAATTCTTATCGGATGCCATAATTCCGTTTCAAAGAAAGCCTTGGGAATATGAGGACTGAATGAAGAACTCAGACGAGAAGGTCAATGTAGGGGCATTCCGCGATGCACAAAAGCAGTATTTAGGGGGAAGGGATTACTTTCATACGTGAATAATAACCGAAATGAGTCATCCAACGTTATATTCTAAGCGATGATTATGATGGCATGATTTACACCCTGCTCCTGATCCCCGGACGGTGGTACTACTGGGAATTCTTGGTGGGGGTGTGGTGCCCGGTTCTCCGAATCCTGACCTTATTGCAGACCAAAAAATGTCATTTTCCACATCCGTTTTCAGACCAGATCTCTAAAATCCATACCCATTTTCGGATCTGGCCTAATTTAGCCTGTTCCAGGCTCTCAGATAGTTGGGGATACTCCCCAGTTTTGTCCCGTTTTATTTCCGTGTTTTCGCTTTCTCAATTCAGCGGACCCAACTATCTCAGAGCCTGGAACAGTTTAGGTCTAATTAGGCAGAAATTATGTCATCATTACCAAGTTAGAGCGGAAACAAAAAAAGTCTCCAAATGCATTTCGAATTCGCACATTTCTATTTCGTTCTTATTCATTTGGAATTGAAACGATAAATACGTCCATTCATGTACGCTCCCGAAGTTCCCTCGAAAACCATACCCGATTCCACACCAAAATGGGCAAGTTTTTTCAGACTTAAAAGGCCCCAAGCCCTTACCCTTCCATTATATAATGATAATGACAATGACAATGCTTTATTTATTTGGAGTCTTATACAGTCCTATGTACATTGACTTTATCCAAATAATTCAGAATCATAACACAAATTGCACACTAGTGGACACTAGTAGTTATATAAGGGAGTACCACCCCAGATCCTGACCCCTTTCATGATTGTCAGAGACCGAGACAAGGTCTAAAAATGGGTGAAGAAAATAGCATTTTGATCCGGCTCATGATTCAGAGAACCACGCGGCCCACCTCCACCAAGACTGATTTATAGGAGTATTTACAACTTTAACTCGCGTGTCTTGCTGTTTAGCGATCTTTTGATCTTATTTTTCCTTACCTAGAACCAAATAGCACCGTTTTTACCAAAGTAGTCCGGCCGTAGTCCGTATTTTATACCCAGTCCGCAGTCCGCAGTCCGCGTTTTATACCTTGTCCGTGTTTTATACCCAGTCCGTGTTTTCCAGTCCACGTTTTATACCTAGTCCGCATTTTATACCCAGTCCGCAGTCCGTAGTCCGCCGTCCGTGTTTTATACTGACCGGTTTAAAAACCGTGTATGCGTACAAGGCAATTTTCCCGGCAAATTCAGTAATTTCATGTTATGAACATATTTGTGCTTGGATAAATTATATAAAGGTTGTCGACCTAAGAAAAAGCCACTACCCTCACAATTTTAGGTGTCAATGCGATTTTGTCAAGGTCTGAGTCAATTTCAAGAGTGTGTCTGCTGCTCAGAGATTGACTGGGTTGCCTTTGTCGCTAAAACAATGAAGCGATTGAGACAGAAGGACTCTGCCTGTTTGCATAACACAACACCCGGGATTCCAAGCCGTTTGCTTAAATCGCTGGGTTCTTCAGACGGCCTGGTATTAATGCAAACAGCAGTACCGCGACTCCTACGAAGGCCCAACACGCAAACAAACAGTCACATAGCTTAAAGGTAGCTGGCGAGGTGGTGCTCGGGCATTTTAGGAAAAGTTCGCGTTGTCCTGCGATCTTGCGCTGTTTGTTATGTTGGGGCTCACTTTCCTCCCCCACTAAAGAGGCAATGAAGATGGATGACTTTGTGTTAGAGGGATTTCGCTTTGCAGACGAGTAATGAGAAGAGAGACTATTCGCCATATAAGCAATTAATATAATTTTATTATGGTGATTTGCCTTTATCTTGAGTATCCTGAGATGCTGCGGGGATTTTTCCGTTTCACGTCTTAGCTTTTTAGTTTCTGGTGGCCCACGTTTAAATGTTGGAACAGCATCTGCTTTTATTATTGAGTTTCATGTTTAAGCCTAGGAACTAAGCTATCGTTGGATCTTCTTTCTATGTCATTTCCGGTTTCAAGCTGTAGCGCAAAATTTTAATTGTGTGACGAGAAACTTTCCTCGTTTTCTGGCAAATACAGATGATTCGTTGGTCATCGCGGGTGCCAAAATGCCTTTGTATCTCAAAGACTGCATTATTCAAGCGCTAAGGTTGGACTTTTGTGAGGCTGCTGCGACATTGTTGATGTGCTATGCGGCGAAACACGACAAAAGACGGCTTCTAAAATATTTGATGAGTGAAGAGACGAGCAGAGAGGAAGAAGAACAAGCCATTTTAGAATTACCTTGTCCAAGTGTTTCACGTAACACTATGGTGGGTGTAAGGTACAGGATATTTTTTTTACTTTGGAATTGACGTCATTTTTCTAGTGATAGTGTATATCGCTGTGGGGACTGACTTTTTTTCACTTGTTTCCTTTGTGTGTGATGTATCAGTATTAATATGTAGAATATTTCATGAAAAATTTGCGCGAACAGCATTTACACTCGAGTTGTTGCATGTTGCTGAAATACCGTTTTGAATCCTCGAAGGCCCTATAGCCGTACGCTTTGTATGGAGGGCTCAGTTATAACCATCGATCTATCAATAGAGGGCTTTAGATTTGAGGACGAGAACTAGTACGAGTACGAGATTAACTTTTAATTTTTTGCGGGTGTTCTAAAAAAAAGACACCCCGGAAAGCTTCATTTTACTTTTTTTCACCAAAAAAGTTAGTGCGGTCATTTATAATGAAGGAGGGTAAGCCCTCTCTCGATAGCAAACAGATAAAACTTCTTACATTTGATAACTTGTTCCCGCCACAACCACATTCTCGGTAATGAAAACTCGTAGTAGATTGACGACGGCTATCACGTTTTCCCGCCAAAATGATGTTGGTTCAAACGTGAGCAATACTCGGTATTGAGGAAATCTCGTAATCGTAGTCGTCCTCGTCTCAGAATCTATCTCGCGATTCGTTACCAACGCTTATTTATGCTTTTATCACTAGTCGTTTAGACTATTGTAATGGACTTCTGTATGGCCTTCCTAACTCGCAAATAGTTAAATTGCAACGTGTGCAGAATGCTGCGGCGAGACTTGTACTGAGCTTAAGTAAGTGCTCGCATATTTCTCTTGCGCTTTATCAACTTCACTGGTTACCAGTACAACATCGTGTTCATTTTAAGATCTTAATTTTAACATTTAAAGCTATTCATGGATTGGCGCCTAAGTATATCATAGAAAAGGTTGAGTTTGATCGTCCGGGTGAACGTAGTCCTGAATAGGACTGTTGTTGTTGACAGTGACTGACGTTTCGACAACCTGTGCGGTAGTCATCTTCAGAGTCAAAGTGAGTTGTATCAAGTCAGTTGATGGTATTATACTCTGGTTATTGATCTGATTGGTCAATTATGTCGCGATGTTATTGGTCGTCTGTCAGTTACGCCGTGATGTTATTGGCTATGAAGACTCGTAATCAGTGATTGGTGCGTTTCGATCCGTCTATTGTCACAGTTAAACAGTCGTCTATTGTTAGTCAAATTGTCAGTTCTCCAGTTAGTTCTCATAGAACTAATTAACATTAAGCCTTCTTAGAAGTAATGAACATTAAGCCTAGGTCTATATGTAATCTTAGATCAAATCAAAGTTTATTGCTAGACCCTCCTAAAGGGAAAATGCTTGTCACATGACAGATCTTTCTCTGCTGCTGCCCCATATTTATGAAATAGTTTGCCGACTGAATTACGTGATGTTCAGTCATTAGCTGTTTTTAAATGTAAGCTGAAAACTTATTTATTTCGTGCAGCTTTTACAACGTCACCTGTTTGACATTCACTTTATTCGTATTACTAATTAAATTTATTATCATTATTATAAATATTCTATATTATTATTAGAAAGTTATTAAATTATTATTATTATTGTTATTATTATTATTATTATTATTATTGTTATTATTATTATTATTATTATTATTATTATTATTATTATTATTGACGGTAGAAAGCAGGATTGACCAGTCCAGACGTTCGGGCTACGCGACTCGCAGGGTGTACCTTCTCCACAGTTAAATGAAGAAGACCCCGAGTGTTGATCTAACTTAGAAACGACCTCTTTGCCCCACCTCCCCCCCCCCGGCTACGCCCATTGGGGGAAGGTTGGGGCGAAGAGACGGCTGGCACTTCAGACTAAGCGAACCTGGCCTGTGCGGTGTCAAATCAACAGCAAAGCGCACAAATGACGTCACAGCGGCTAAAAGACCCTTCCACGGTTTTCTTTTTTTTTCAGCTTTTGACATGTACCAGTTAGGGAAAATCCGTCGACGCCAATGGAAAGAGTGCCTTAAAATTAGTACAATTGTCAAGTTTGTAAGTGATACGTCTTAAGCGAGAGAAGATAACGGTAGCTCCGAAGAGTTGCGAAATTTTACAGTCGTTTGTATGGTGGGGGCACAAACTTGCCCCCACCATACAAACCTCTGTAAAATTTCGCGAATTCGAGAAGCTAGTCTTCTTTAGTTTTCAACAAATTAATTTCAAACGTGGCAACGATCTTTGGAATTGGCTGATTTTCCTTAACTTGTCGGTGTCAAAAGTTAAAAAAAAAAACCGTGGAAAGGTCTATTTGCAACGTCTGTCTGACTTCTATCATTAGTCAGACAAACACAGCATTTTAATAACAACAGACAAACGAAAGTGAGGAATTCGCGAATGCTAAGTTTTAAGCCATGTCCCCACGAATCCAGACATTTTTGAAACCGCATATTTTTTTATCCGGATTCGTGAAGACGAGGCGTTAAACCCCCACGGCGAGCGGTTTCAAAACAATGCGGTTCTGGTATCCGGATTGACTGGTTTCATTTGGAAGGAAGCCCGATTCGTATGAAAAACGTTTGCAGTTTCAAAAGTATCCGGATTCGTGTGGAGGGGGGCCTTAACCCTTTAAGTCCCAATGTTGACCAACATCAATTTTCTCCTATCAATATTCATACATCATCAAGAGAAAAGGTTAGGAGAATTAATAAAATGATCACAAAAGAGAAAACGCCTTGATCTTTTATCAAATTCTCTCAACACATTCTTTAACAAGATAAATGGAGATCAGTTTGGAGAATTTGTATGTGGATATTGGGGCTTAAAGGGTAAAATTTGTTTGTCTGACCTTCAGTTTTAGAAATAGTAACAGTGCCCAGCACCATTGTGCGAACCAGTCTCTACATCTTTTTTAGGTTATTTATTGCGAACAAGGAAGTCTTTCCAACCGCTGTTCCCCTTGAACTGGCTTTACAGAACAGAAGAAAGGAAGCTGCTGAGATAATTTTACTGAATACTGACTGTGATCGACAACGACGTCAAGTTGATTGGGGGAACCTTGCGATGGATGAAATTGAACCTGCGTGGCTAGAAAACATTAAATGGGTAGAAACAATTCTTCTTGTTTCAAATTTCCTACAGAGAGTTCCGGATAACATTCACATTCTGGACAAACTGAGTTGTTTAGACTTAAGCAAAAATCAATTGAAAACGATTCCGGTATGTTTACTCGAGATGCCAAGTCTTTGTAATCTTTGGCTGTCAGAAAACAAAATCGCGGAATTACCCAAGCAGTGCAATTGGAGTTCGTCTCTCAAGACACTCGATTTGAATGATAACTTATTGCAGACACTACCCAAGAGTATGGCAAAGGCGAAGTTGACCTCTCTTCACGTAGCAAGAAATAACTTGTACTATCTGCCGCCGTGGATCGAACAGATGGCTTCTCTGCAGTTGTTAGATGTATCCGGGAATCCCAGGTTGAGGAACGTCCCTCAAAAGTTGGAAAAGTTGAACCAGACTAAAAGTGACTTGCTTATTGGGAAGAATCATCAGGTTGGTTTAGTAGTATTGTCTAGATACATTATATACCCTCGATTGCAAAAACAGCGTGCAAAGAAAGTAGGGTCCGATAGCCCGGGACTAGTGGATTTTGCTATCGGGCTAGTGAATTCTGTTCTTAACTTGGCCGATGGGCAAGTGAAGTTTTTTGAGGAGTTCAAATTACAGAAGAACTGTGTAATCAATCCTGCTTATCAAATGAATTTTGGGCAAGTAAATGCTAGCCACAGCTTGCCCGAATAGCAAGCTGCAGGGGCGGATCTAGGGGGAGGGTGCAGGGGGTGCGCACCCCCCCCCCTCAGATATGACCTGCAGTTTTCTAATACAACTGGTATTCTGCAAAAAAAGAAAACTATGTGGTTTATTGGTGTTGAAGTAGAGCAAGAGACGAGTGCACCCCCTCCTAAAACAAATCCCGGATCCGCCCCTGAGCTGTAAAACTGACTTTCTTTGCACCCTGAAAAACGAGGCCCAGTAATAATTTTTTATTCTCATTTAAATCCGTTTTCACAAAAAAGGTTTTGCACGTAGGCTCGTTTTGAAAGTGAGAGTGTTTGGAACCTGGAAATAGCCTATTCCAACAAGTTCCACAGGGCTTTCAGTTTTCTTGGGGGAAATCTCTTCCTGAGCGCAGATCTTTTCTCAGAAATCTCTTTCTTACAAGAGCGTGGAACAAAATCGCAGTTCTCAGTTTCATCAATTTAAGGTTAGTATTTATGCAAGATTCGTAAGAGATTTGTGTGGTAAGCCTCGAACATCACCAAGGAGGGACCTTCACCCATGTTCTTTAATGAAGATATTATTTGCCCCGCGAGGTGAAGTGCGAAATCGTGGAAAGAGGAAGGTCGGTAGAGGGAGACTTTTAACACAGGAAGGTGCCAAAAATTAATTCAAAAAGAGAAAGCAAACGAGCAAACAAATTGA